TGCATTGATTTTTGATGTATAGAGTTGGTTAGCTTTGGCTCTTCCTGAATCCTTGCTTCATGAAGTAGTTGTCTATTCTACTGTACCACGCTCATGAAGCTTGCTTTATTTCGTATAATTGTCTTCCTTAATTTGAGAACTTTATCTTTTTTATCTTGTACTACATACTCTTGAGGTTGCTCAACATAAATTTCCTTTTGAAGATAGCCATTGAAAAATACTGATTTCATGTCTAGTTGATAAATCTTCCACTTCTTCTGTATAGCTAATGCAATCAACGCCCTTAGCAACTGAAGCAAATGTTTCATTGTAGTCAATGCCAAATTGTTGTGAGTATCATTTGGCTCCTAGTCTTGCTTTATGTTTTTGAATTAAACCATCAACATTAATTTTTGTCTTGTAGACTTATTTAACACCTATAACTTCTCTGTCTCGAAAAAGATCAACAAGCTCCCAAGTGTTATTTTTCTTGATCATTTTTATTTCTTCGTTCATAGCTTTTCTCCATTTTGGTTGTTTTGAAGCTATTTCATAGCTTTTAGGTTTTATGATCATCAAGTTGCAACTTCGGTATATTTTTTATAATCTTCATGTTTTTCTTGTGATGATTCTAGTTAGTTGATTGGTCCTTTTGTCGTTGCTTGTTGTGTGGACTTTGGTAGATTGTTCTCCTCAAAGTTACCCTTCTATTTTTGTGGTTGTGATAGGATGATGATACCCTTTTCCTTCATCTTGACCAGTTTCCCAGTCGTAGGTAGTATCTTCATCAAACTTAACATCCCCGACTTATAATTACCTTCTTTGTTCACAAGTTATAGACTCGATAATCTTTTCATTGAGTTCTATAACCTAAGAAGATTCCTTACTCTATTTTTTATCTAGCTTACCATTGTTCTCTTGTGGAATATGTGTGTAGTAGATGCAGCCAAAAATTCTGAGATACTTTGATGATGGTTTTCATTCCTTCCATGCTTCCACTGGTGTTTTGTCTTCTATGGCTTTGATTGGACATCGATTTAGTAGGTAGACTGTGGTGCTTATTGCTTCTACCCATAACGTTTTGGAAGAACTTTCTCTATTAGGATGGCTCCAGGTGTCTACATTACTATTCTGTTCTTATTTTTTGACACACTGTTTTGTTCTATTGCATATCTAACAGTAAGTTGATGCTCAATTTCTTCATCTTTACAGAATTGTTTGAATTCATTTGATGTATATTCTTTACTTCTATTTAAGCATGTCAACAACCAGAGCCAAGTTAGCTTGTGAGCTAAAACTCGAGGCTCAGGCTCAGGCTCGAGTAAAATGATGCTAACTTTTGGAAGCCTAAGCTGAGTCGAGGTCTTGCTAAGCCAAAAAATCTAAGCTTGATCTGAGTTTTTGAATCGGTGAGGATGGACTGAGTCGAACCGAGCTTCTTCTTTTTTTCATAACTGCTACATAGCTACCTACCTGTTGGCAGCAGATTTGCTGCCTTTTTAAGACAGTTTTAAATATATATGTTTATAATTTTTTTGTTATCTTTTTTTATTTATTTAACTATCTAGCTCGGGCCAGCCCGTATGGATCGTCGAGCCACATGAGCCGATCTGGGCTCGAGTAGACACCCAGAATGGGGCTCTGCCCGAGCCTTGACTCTGTGCCTTTGAGCCACGAATTAGGCTGGCTCGGCCTTTTCCTAGGAAGAGCCACGGGAAACCCGAGCCGACTAGCCAAATTTACATCACTACCTCTGTCACTTTTGATAGTTTTGATATTGTAATCATTTTGCTTTTGACATAGCTTTTGACCCCATTTAAAAATCTCAAGTACTTGGGATTTCTCACACAAGAAATATACCCATGTCATTTTAGTGTAGTAAAAAATGACGAGAAAGAAGTTCATGTTTTGCTTGTACGTCGAAGTACGCATCAGACCGCAAACACTTGTATGTGTCAGCTTCAATGGCTTTTTAGCTCTCCAAGATTTTCAGGATGGAAATGGTTGACGGTGTTGTTTTCTCTAGCAAAAATTCTTTGCAAACTTCATTAATCTTTTTTATGACTGGTTAGTCTTTTATCATGCTTTTTTGCTACAAGATCTTCAATTTGTGGAAGTAGATATGTCCAAATCTTTTATGCACAACCACGATTGGTCTACTTGTGCCATCATTGCTGCATTGTTTGTGTTGGACTGGGAGACATCTATTATCCCACTTTTGACTTTTGCAATTACAAGGTATTTATCTTTCTTGTCATGTATAATTCTAGAATCTCCTTCAAAATGTAAATTATATCCTATCTCTATCATCTATCTATACGTAGTAGATTTTGATCTATTGTAGGGACCAAGAGAACTTAATTGATGTATCTCTTGCCCGTTTTGTATCAACAGCAATAGTGCCTTTGCCTGTTGCCTCTATGAAATTTCCATAGCCAATTTTGATTTTTGCATTGGTTTTTCAAGATTGCAGAAAATACTTTCATCTTTCATCATGTGGTTATCACAGCCACTGTTTAGATACCATATATCCAGTTTGTTATCAGATGCATCCTTGCTAGAAGTATAAAATAGACTTCATTCTATATCATTTTTCAGAGAAATTAGCTCGATGATTTTGTTTAATGGACTTCATTCTATATCATTTTCAGAGAAATTAGCTTAATGATTTTGTTTAAAACGATAAAATTTTTCTTCGTGTCCAATTTTTTTACAGTTACAACACTGTGGTTTTTCTTTAAACCAACAATCCTTCTCTAAATAACTTTTTTCTTTTACGAATACCACATGGAGGATACTTGCCGCTTTTATCAATTTCTTTTCCTTGAATTTCTTTATTTTTAGAATTATCTTTAGATTTCTGAAATTGCATAATAACTTTAGATTGAAAAGCATTTTTTGTGTCAATTTCATAAAATCTTTCTAATCTTTTTTCATCTGCTTCTAGTGAACCCATTAATTCTATAGCTACTTATTTATTTATATCTTTAGACTTCTCAATAGTTGAAATAATTGGGCCATATTTTTCTGTGCAAATAATTAGAATTTTTAATACATATCTTTTTAGGAACATCATCTCTATAAGATATTAGTTGATTTATTATTTCATCTATTCTTGAATAATGATCTTTCATGATTTTAGAACCTTTCATTTTTAAAATTTCAAAATTCCTTCTTAAAGTTTGAAGACAACAAGTATTTACCTTGTCATTGTCGTAGAACTCCTCCTTCCGTTTATCCCAAACTTCTTTTGCTATTTTAGCTCCCATGATTCTTGAAAAATAAGTGTCTGTCAAGTTCATTTGTAGAGCAAGACGTGCTAAAGAAGATTTTATTAATTTTTTTTTTGTTGATTCTCTTTAAGTTCATTCTTTCGTGCGTTAGTTAAAATGGAAATGTCATTTGAGTTAGTATACCTATCATTGACGACATCCCATAAATTTTGATGGACCAAAAACCATAGTTATCTCTATTAAATGTTGGGATAGGAATTGATGAGCAGAAAGCGTTTATCATTGTATATGCTTAAGACCAATATCTATCGAATGTAGCTCTAATACTAGTGAGGATTTTTATTTGAAGTAGAAGAAATAAATTGATTTAGAGTAAATGGTATAGTAGGCAGTGGCAAATCCAGGATTTTAATTGAGTACGGGGCGGCCGTTAACTGTCGACGATCGTAATAATAACCAATGCCATGAGTTGAAATTACTTAGCCCCTGTTTGGCCCCCCATTATTTGGATTTATAATGGGAAAATAATGTTTTTTTTAAAAAAAAAATGAATGGTTGTAAAAGAATGAAAAGTATTCGAATTATGTATAATATTATTTTATTGAAAATTGTGTAGTTGAAAATAGGAAAGAGAAAATTTTAAATTAAATTCGATAAGTTTTAGAAGGGGCCAAACTGGGGCTTATATCGTAGTTTGAATTGTAAGTGTGAGTGTATGTTATCTACCAGTGTAATAATGTTTATCGAGTAACAATTTGAAATTTGAAAAATGGTCCAATTATTTACTTTCTTGATTCGATTTGCTAATAATTTCAGTTTAATAGAAAAAAAAAAGTGACTATTTTAATAATCTCACTGTATGGTCGAATTTTATTTTTCTAAAATAGGAGGGTATATATCTTTACTTGATAAAAGAATATATAACTTTTGTTGCTTGTGTTGTCAACATCCACCAATTGCCATAGTGGTCAAACGGTGGTTGATTCTAATGGTGATCACATGTTCGATTCTTCCACTTGTACCGTTTTAATGCCTATTTGCTCCAAAATGGTGGAAAATATTAAACTAAAATCATTGCAAAACGGGATTGGCAGGTGATGGATCCGCCACTATTAGCAGGTGTTGTATGGGATAATTTTTAGGAATAGAAAATAGTAGAGTAGTTTCAATTGAATAAGACAGTTCAAGGAGGAAAAGTTAATTTATTGAATCGAAGATTTTACAAAATGACAGGAGACATTGGATGGAAATTTATTTTTCACTTACTTTTCATTTGAATCCAATACTACATCCTTATAGGCACACATGGTAAAATTAATTCTAGAGTTCTCTGATGTTTCCTTATTTTATTGTTTTGTTTTACTTGTTTCTCATGGCATTCTAGGGAATTCTAATACACGTAGGTTTATAGAATATGCACCATTTATTAATGCCTTGTTTGGGCTCTATTATTCCAAAAATATATTTTTCACTCTGTTATTTTCAATCACAGATTTTCAATAAAATTATATAACAAGTAAGCTCAAAACTTTTCTTATTTTTTGCCAACATATTCATCAAAAAATATCTAATCCGAAATACAATTTCTCTGAAATTGTTTTATAATGGAACTGCGCATAAACTTAACATGTTAAGCCCTCATAAGGTCCTGATCAGGAAGCTCTCTGTGGGACGTGGGTTGGGCCGTGTTGGCCAACAAACTTCAAATCAACCAACGAGTATGAAATGCCAAAAATTCAAAACATGACATACAAAAGTATCGGTGAAAAATTTTTGTAGATGCTAAAATAAAAAGCCGACTAATCCAATCTGTGTTACAATAGTTGAACTTAAAACTACACGATCTTTACATGCTGAAAGGTGTAATAAATAAACCCACAAAACATGCATGCCTATCCATACTTTATAGAGGACGTATAGAGAGCCACCGGTCGAACATCGCAAAACATTCTTTAGGCTTATACTCTGATATTGTATGTCCTGCACCCTGCAACATAAACACACTTTTATTTCTTGTTTTTCTTCAAATCATTGTGAGAATGAGCAGAATCAAAATTTTTTTGCCTTGACCGTCGCAAATGTGAGATAGAAGTCATTGTTCTTGAACTTCTCTGTGTATCTACAAGGGTTAAAGTATATTTCATCTTGAGAATAATTCCAGGCAAAATATTACATATATATGTAATATGATCAAGAATTGGAAACCAACCCCGCGACTTGGCCATTAACATGCCAAGGTCTCCAGTTGTCAATAACAGTCAGATTGAGTATGCGAATCCATTTTAAAGTACCAATATAAGGTGCAATCATGTCATGATCACCACTGGAAAGAAAAGAAACATAATTAGGAAACATATATCAAACTTAAATATTTGGCCCATATTGGATCCCACTTTTACTCGAAAATTGATTTTTGTCTTTAAAAAGTGTGATACTTTCTCAATTAAATAAACTGATTGGCAGAGACATTATGACAGCAAGGACATCAAGCCTCCAGTTTCTCCAACCATTATTTGGTCAAAAGATCGCTTTGCCCTTGATTCATAAGGTAAATATGTCTGCCAAGGGGAGGACTAAACTAGAAATGGAGGAATCATGGACGTCATCTTGTCAGGTGCATTAATCGGTCCAAAATTTCTCACATTATTTGGTCAAACAATCGTTTTGCCGTTGAATGGCGCTTGATATACAAGTTAAAAATTTTGCTTAAAGAATTATATTTAAGCAACACATATATTTAGCTGATGGATAGGACAACTTAGAACAAGTAACTCACAACGACTAAGCAAGCAAGAAACTAATATGACTTACCTAGCTATTAAAACTTTGTATCCTTTCTTGCTGAATATTCTATGATATTGAAGAACGTTTTCTACATTCCTTTCATAGGATATGCTCTCATTGCATCTTTTCCACTCTGTTATGGTACCCTGGAGATCAAATTATAATATTACGTTAGATATTTTGATCACATGCACTATTTTGAGTTTTGTTGATAGCTAGCACGTGGTAACAAGTACTAAATCTTTAATATTTTCTAGTTAACTTACCTTTCTTATATGAAGAGCTTCTTGGACACTCGGATCATTTGCCCAAACAGAAGATGTTATAAAATTTTTGCTCTGCATAGAAGAAACCAGTTGTTGAGAAATTCAGCACAGTTGGCTAAGAAAGATTAAATGTTGCTTTTAGCTTCTTTTTTACTAAAGAGTGTTTTAAGAGTAATAAGTTTTTACGAACCAAATTTACTTCTCTAATAAGTAACACTTTTACTTTACATAAAAATAATTTCTAAATGAACGTATACTTATATAAGTAGAGGATTAATTTAGTTACGCGACACCACTGTCGATATTGTTTGGATGATGGGAGGACGAGGTGGTTGCTTGAATCGTCTTCTGGAAATGTCTGATACCATCCAAAATCATCAAGTTTTGATACCATGTTATCACAATTTGGTTCCAAAATCTGAACTCCATTTATAAGATTTATGCACTGCAGCATTAGATCATATCGTGAAACTTGTTTAGCTTTTATGACCATAATAAACAATAAAAAAAAATGAAAAAGGAAAAAATATAAAGAATGCAAAATGGTTACCTTTTGGATCAGTTGAAGTGCATGCAAACATTGCACATTGTTTGGATCACGATTGTAATATTTTCCATTACAGCTAATTTTTGCTGACTAAAATTATGTCAAGTAATTACATGAGAATAAGATGCAAAATGCTTCATTTTATCATCAAAATATTGAATAAAAAGGATTACCTCAAAGTATTCATCCGATATAAGTGCCATGCGATGAGCATATGGAATTCGTGCATTATAATCAATGTTTGGTACTGTTAGTCCATTTCCGATAATGTATCCCTGTATAAATTTCGAAGTACACAACCGTTAACATGAAATATGTTATAGTATAGGCAAATAAATAATAAGAAATTTGTTTTTTTTTTTTTGAGCTAATCAATACTTGGAGGGACATTTGTGGCTTCAGTCCTGCTTCATTTCCTGCGCATTACCGTCGAGCTTGGTTGGGGAAAGAGAAAAATCAAATAAAATCTTGTAAGCATCTCTCTCTCTCTCTCTCTCTCTCTCTCTCTCTCTCTCTCTACATTACCTTGTGATATTTCCATGGAAATCATGGGAACAAGTTTGCCTGCATAGGATTCACCGGCGACATATAGACGATTTTTGATAAACATGGGGTGACTCAATAACCACTGCATTATTCTCAATATGAAGTTAGTTCACTAACCCAAAAAAAAAAATGTGGTAAAGAGCATGAAGGTATAAATGTATAAGGACTACTTCTATGTCCCTCGTCAAACTTCATTTGTATTGCATTCAATAATTTCAATTTGTACTTAGGAATAAAACATCTACGATTAATAACGTTGACCTACCTTCCTAAGAAATGTGTAAGTATCTTTTGCTGATTTGGTGTCCGAGGAAGAACAACCTTGTGAAGTGTTGGAATATGAAAATCCAGTACCAACTGGCCAATCTATGAATATGATACTGGCAACCTGAAAACTATTTAAATATATTATAAAGGTAGAAAAGTATTGAAGAAATACATACATGACTTGAAACACGCATGGAGTCAGAGATGTTTTTGACCTTGGTCCAAGAATATGGATTTAAGAGAATAGATGGCAAGCTTCCATCAAAATGTGCAACATCAAAAGTAAATGGACCTACAAACAAGAACACACATTGCTGTTAGAATAATATAACTTATATTTATAAATTATAATTTTTGATTATCGAAATAATAATACTTTCTAACTCTGTACATCTTACTGATTATAATACCAATTTCTAGCAGTGGAAGTGTACATTTGGAGAATAATGTGGTAAAAATTGGACAGCTTAGAGTTCTATAATAGGAAACAAGGCTAATAGGTTCTGTAATATGCAACGTCACGAGCAATCCCGAAGAGCTCTCATTATGACTATATATGGAGCTGGATAGATATGTACGCTGTAGCTTGCAATGAGCTTGAGTTTCCTAGTGAACATTCTCCAAAGAAGATCTTGGGATGAAGCTACTCGTAGACACTTTTCAAGCCATGCGTTAGAGTTCATCTTGAATTTAATGCATACAATTCTGGGAGACGTTCTATGTTAAGTCCTCAAAGAAATCCTCACACATCTTGGCTGCTAGAGATTTATCTGTGCTACAAAATGTCTGATTGTCTTTCTCATGAGTATCTTATAGTTGAGTATCGTTTCACTTTGATGTTCGTAGCAGCGGTTGTTGATAGAGTTAAATACAAGTTTTAATGAGATATTAGCAGACCTCATTTTTCTCATAGCATTTTCAATCCTTAAAAAAAAATCATTTGAATTGTTTAACATGGATAATTTCAAGCTTGCAGATTAGTTCTACCCCTCAATATCTTAAAGCGGATTTATTGTTGAAAAATGAGTTGCAGCATCATTGGCTCAAGGTGGTTTGTCAACCTCAATTTCAAGTACCCAAGTAAGTCGAAGAGTTATATCACAGTGAGTAGATTTTTTCGTTTTGTATTAGCACTACCTTTTTTACCATAACTACTGAGCATTTTCGATAAAACATGTGAAGATGGAAATTGGTTACAAAATGGAAGACAGATCTCTTGCTTATTTTATGATATTTAACTTAAAGCGAGATTTGTTACCAACATAAGTGTAGATTCCATTTATAGATGGACTTTTTGTTGTAAAATATCATCACGTCATTACGTCAGTAAATGTTTATATAAGAATTTATTCATCCAATTTTATTTATTATTTTTTTTCCCTCAAATTTCTGCCCCAAAACTTAGTTTTATGGCTATGCCTTGATTTACCTCTTTTGCATATTCAAACTTGAGGAGCTAATACCATGAAAGAAATAATGAGGGAGTAAGTATGATCAAAACCAAAAGTTAAGAATCATAAACGAAACGTTTTTACAGTTTTATCCTTGTCTTTATTCCTTTTCATATTTAAAGCGTAAAGGTGATGATATCAAAATTGGTCTAGCCTTGAAGCAAGCACGGGCAGATCTCCTAGATCCCAAATCAACTCATTGATGATGACAGTCCTCCGAAACCTTTATTCGCCGCCTTATACAATGTGACACTCAAGGACTTGGGTAGCAGGTAGCTCGAGGTAAAAACTTTAGCTTGGGAATAATCTCCCATAGGTCGAGATTGAGTGCCACCTTATGTTATTGAATTTAAGATGACCGTACCTCCGTTAAACCATAGTCGTTTTCATTCACTTCATCTTAAAGATCTAGTAGATCATTTAAACTAATAAACCGTCAAACAACAAGGCATGAACACTAGGCTCCAACATTTTGCGCACTCGTATACATCTAGCAAGAACTTCAAGAACATAACACACATAGAGAGACAAATATATATTTCTACACACATTAATAAAGAGAGAGATTACCAAGTTCATAAACAAGGGTGGATAAACCAGAACAACCAGGTCCACCGGTGATCCAAAGCAAAAGAGGGTCCATGTTAGGATTGTTTTCGGACTCAATGAAGTAGTAGAATAGCTGAACTTCATCATTTTCTCCCACACCAATGTATCTAATCAATCATTCCAACAAAGATTTTAAATTTTTTACTAAGAATTCAGATAATTGAATTGCACTCAATGCTAATGAACATTAAATATTAAATTAGGTTAAATGCTTGTGAACGAGAAAAACCCCAAATGGTCGCTAAACTTTGCCCAAAATCCCCAAAGAGGTCACCGAACTTCAAACCGTCCCTAAGTAGTCACTGAACCTAGCTCGAAGTCTCCCAAGAGGTCATCGAACTACAAACGTCCCTAAATGGCCATTGAACTTTGCAAAAAGTTCCTAGGAGGTCACTAAAGTTTGCAAATTATTGAACTTTGCAAAGATGAATGGGGTCCCAATTTGCAAACTTCAGTGACCCCTTAAGAACTTTTTGCAAAGTTCAGTGATCATTTAGAGATGTTTTGAAGTTCCGTGACCTCCTGGGTGACCTCGGGCAAAGTTCAGTGACTATTTAGGGATGTTTTGAAGTTCAGTGATCTCTTGGGGGACTTTGGGCAAAGTTCAGTGACCATTTGGGGTTTTAACCCACTTGTCAACTGTTTAGGACTACTTACAGAAATGAAAATAAGGAGTGAAAGAACTGACCCGGTTTCAAGTTTGAAAGGAAGAGCACCTGAAAAACCTGGAAGAGTATTGATGATCGTCTGTGATGCTCCATAGTTGAAGAGCAGGAGAAGAAAAAGTGCATACAACCCTACCCAATTCATAATAAAAAAACCCAAAAATTAAACGCAAAAAATGTATTTAGTCTGTTATCTAAATATATTTTCACAAGGACTGACCTTTGGGCTTCCATGTTTGGAATTTAGAGGAAGAGAAATAGGCTGAAACATGTGATAATCAATAAGAAATAATCATCCAAATCTATGGCTACTTCTTTACCTAGGCTTGACATTTTAATGAGTAAACCAGCCTTGCAAATAATGATTAGTTATGAGGAATTTGTGGATTCTAAGCTTGGCAGGGATGGCTCCTATGATACCCCGTGAACTTTTTCCTTGTGTTCAGCAAATGAGTTTGGGGAGACAAATTCCTGCATGCCAACAATAAAAACTGTGTCAAAAAACGAGGAAATTAGCAAGCTACAGCACGCTTATAAAACAATAGAATTAAACTTACTCAACAAATTATATAATGCTGGCAACCTAACTTCATTCACTAGATCATGAAGATAAACTTCTAGTCTCGACAAGGAAAAAAGAAAGTCTACTTCCAAAGAATTTTTCCAAAACTTAAAGGTTGGAAACTGTATCTCAACCTCATCCAGGCCATGCAGAAAGGTAAAACCACCCTAAAAATTTAGTGCAACACAATAATGTTGGGTTTTAATTTTTTACGTGGGCCTGTATTCATGTTATTCTCAAGGTTAAGCCCATTTACAGTGATCTAATGAAGAATTGGAAGAAAATCACAAATAACCAAGTAAATAAAAATAATTCATTAAATACTACACACCAATTCATATTTATGATACTAATTATTATAGAGATGATACTAATTATTATAGAGAAGTATACAAAAACTACTATGATTTTATTTTTGCAACTGAAGCACGTGCAATGGCAAAAAATACTCGTACCATTAATTTCAATTTCTTATCATTTCCTGTCAATTAAAAACCATGGAAAGTTCAAATTACTAAGGAATGCATGGGATTGATAATATACTTTACAAATGAATGAAAGTGCAAAATTACATTAGGTGCTATAATATGTGTAAAAAAATTGAGATGTCAATCACGAAAACTCATAACATAATGAATAATATCAAAATACATGTTGCAGAGTGAAAATGAGCGAGAACTACACTTTGACAAATGATGTGGAGTAATTTGAATCAATTCATGCATGGATACAAGTAACCCTTGATATAATAGACAAATAGTATAGAAACAGGAATAAATAATGACTCAAATCAATTCAAAAAAGATAAAAAGGTATAATGTGTTATGGGTCAAAAAATGTGATACGCTCTATGTCGCATGTCAAGAAATAATTACACTGGTAAAAATGAAACTTGTCCATGTATTTAAGCAATTGATAAGTATATAAAATATTGGATTGGTGATACGCTTTACAAATGAATGAAAGTACAAAATTGCATCACATGCTTGACACGTGTAAAAAATCGATATGTCAATCATGAAAACACATAACATCATGACTCATATTACGATACATGAATAGAATTACGCTACAACAAATGATGTGGCATAACCTGAATCAATTCATGTATGGACTCAAGTAACAGTTAATATAATAGATGAAAATAATGCATACACTGAAAATTAATATAATAGATGAAAATAATGCATACACTGAAATAAACAATGACAATGACAAAAAATGAAACTTGTTCACGTGTTTCAACAATTGATATGTTACACAATATAATTTTGTCATGAGAAATCATATTCCAACACGTGTTATGTAATCAAGCATTAAAACTTGCAAGAATTTAAATTCAAACATAGTTTAAATTCACAATCATGTCATAAAACATGAACATTATAAAATCAGTGATGATGATTTCTGTAAACTTGCAAGTTCAAGAACAACCCTAAAATAAGTATACTCATACTTGCTATAATATAAGTATCCTCCTTCTTCAGAATAAATCCTACATATTATTGGTCAATATGAAGAGAGTAATTGATGATTAATCCTTCGGAAATTCACTAGAATTCGACTAGTAGCAGAGGTGATGCTAGTGGTTATCTAATTGATGTAGTTGATCCAAGGTGGATTAATGGCTTCTCGGACTCCCCTATTAGTTCTCTTCAAGTACTTGATATGTATGGTGAGAGTCAATCTTCTCGAAACTTCGCGAAGTCTCCATTCGGGTAGATATCAAGTTTTGCCTTGAATAAGACAATTGAGCTGAAGGCAAAAAATGCAACAAGAGTTCACGTCATATATTTTGGTATCCTCTGTGGTTTCCAGTGGCCTACCTTTCTTCAACATGTTGTTGAAAGTAAAAATGGCCCTCTAAGGGTTCGGACCGAATTTCCCCAACCAGGATTCAAACTGGCAGAAAGAATTGAAGAGATAGGTGTTGGTTGGCTTATTATGCTGAAATTTTTAACATGCCATAGCACAAAGGTGCGAAACCATCAAAATGGAGGATCTTAAGATTGAAGATGGAGAATTTCTCATTGTCAACGATTCAAGAATTTTTAATCAATTCAACCTGTTAATCCTTGATGATTCATAATTCAATTCCCACAAAATGGCTAAAAAGAACAGAACTAACTGAGAGCGATGCATGGGTTTACATCAAAGTTCTTCCACAGGGCCTAAGGCTTTGGTTTGATTAAAATGTATGGGGCACCTGTCTTTCCCTTTTTTTGCTGGAATGTAAGATTAAAACAGAAAATAGAGTATAAACAGCTGACAAAGCAAATTTGTATAAATCACTAGAGAAAATTTTGCACGAAATCAAGGATTTTGAGAAGGAAATAGTTTGGGAAGAAATGTGATCAGATTTCTTAGGCGCAAATTGGGGCAATATTTGTGCGTTATAGTTTTTTCATTTGCAATTCTAAAATAGCAATAAATTTGAGATATAAAATGTGGAAAAGTAATATTAAAATAAAAAACCTACAATCAAGAATAAGCAATTCAAGATCCGGTAATTAAACTCATTCTTAATGGATCAAGGTATATTCTGCATTTTATAATTCTATTGGTGATTTGACGTGAAATATTTTTGTAATATAGTAATAAAAGGATTTTCAAGTTCTTGAGATTCGTAAAGATTTAATTAGAACAAATGGTATCATAGCCAACTCTATGTTATACCACTGAGAATAAGGAAAGAATTTTTGGGTTGAAATTCATACTTTAGATTTCTCAATTTTGGGATGCGAATTTTAGTTTCAAATTTTTGGAGATTTTTCAGTAGTCATAATGCTATTCATGCTTCAGATTCTCAAATTTGAAGCTTTAACAACATTCGTACTTTGATTTCTGAATATGAATTTTAGTCCAAAATTTCAAAATTTTGGATTTTTGAATTTTTTTTTTGGAAATTCAGGATCGCTGTAGTGCATGGGCATAGCAACGGCCAATCTAGGCGCTACGCGTCCCTATTAAAACAATTTTTTTTAAACAAAAACAAAAAATAAAAATAAAAAGGAGCGCAATCAAATTCAAATCTTGGTATTAAAGTTTATTTCAAATTTATATTTTTCTAGTATAGATTAATTGAAGCAACATGTTACCAAAATAATCTCTTCTGTCTAAGTTGATTTATTTGGAATATTAGGATGGTTGCATGTGCAGTTCATGTGGATATTGACCTGTCAAAAGGGTGGTAAATATTTGGCTAAATTACATGCATAGTTTTGCTAATAAATATGTTACAATTATAAAGTCCTTTTTTATGTGAACAATAAGCCGGTCGAAAGATAGACTTATTATTTGACGTAATTTATTATCAATATTTGATTATTACACCAAGAGTACCACTTACAACTTAGTATATTCATCCGTAGACTAAATATTAGTGTTGTGTTCGATATCTTGTGATGGGGCAACTATTATTTGAATTTATTGATTGTTTAATATGGATTTGTATGTGAACATATATTTTTTCGGTTTTTGTTATCTACTCAATTGATTCATCTACTTCAACAATATCTACAAGTATCAACTCTATTTCTGTGCTCAATAGAACCAACTTTGAGGATTGGAAAGAGAACGTTCATATCGTTCTTGAATGCATCGATCTAGACCTTACTTTAAGAACTGAACAACACATTGCACTTAATGAAAGTTTCATTGATGAAAAATGGTACTTCGATAAGTGGGATTATTCAAATGGCATGAGTCTTATGATCATGAAGCGTGAAATTTCAAACATTCAAGAGCGCTGTGTCCGATAATGTAACTATTACAAAAGAAATTCTTGAAAAAATTGAAATACGCTCCAAAATTAGTACGCTTCTGACGAACTTAGTTTTACTAAAGTATAAAGGTAAAGAAAACATTCGTGAGTGCATCGTGGAGATGTCTCATCTTGCTTCAAAAATGAAGGCATTAAAGCTTGAGTTGCCTGATGACTTTCTCATGCATTTGGTATTGATTTTTCTTCTAACACAATTCAATCAATTCAAGGTCATTTATAATTGTCAGAAGGAAAAAGTGAACATTTAATGAGTTCATTTCATATGTGTGCAAGAAGAAGAAAGGCTAGAGCAAGAGAAAACTGAAAATGCTCACTTAGCTAATACCTTTTAAGGACAAGTTCACGAAAAGAAAGAATAAGAAAGCTACATCAGGTTAATATAAAAAAAAAAAACAGCAAAAGTTTAAAAAAAAAAATCATCTAGCTGCTATTTTTATCAAAATCTGGGACGCATAAAGTGGGATTGTACCAAATACCATGTGTGTAAAGAAATGTACCTTTTCAACTTTGGTTTGTTCTGAAGTTAATTTAGTTTCAATACTTAGACAGACTTGGTGGATTGATTCCAATGCCACTACTCATATAATTGTGTCTATGCAAGTTTGCTTGAACGATCGAAAGCCAAATGATGCTAAAAGATTCATCTATGTGGACGACGGCAATTCAGTTGGAGTTGAAACTATTGGGAGTTTTAGATGATTATTAAAGATTGGTTTCTGTTTGGATTTGAAAGAAATTTTTGTGGTACCATTTTTAAGATGAAGTTTGGTTTCTATTTCTGTATTGGACAAATTCAATTACTTTTGTTCATTTGGAAATAATAAACATAGTTTAATTCAAATATTGTGGGTATTGGTTCTTTATCAATGTTTAATAATCTCTATTTATTTGATTTTGTTGCCTCTTTCAATAAAACCTTGCATGAGATTTAACAGCTGAAGCTACTGGTGGAGAGACCGCGTCCTATAATAAATAGTTAGTAGTATGCGAGTCATCGATTCGAGGAAAGAAAAAAACCACTTTGCTTTGAAGGCCTAGATTCTGCTTTGTTATGGCACAAGCGTTTAGGCCACATATCTCGAAAGAGAATCGAAAAGTTTTCCATCAGAAAGAATTTTTTATTCT